CATTCGCCGGCGGCAAGGGGAGAACGGGGCAGGGAGCGGCGGGGATGGAGCCGGCGTCTTTACCTCGTCCTAAAGGGTCACCGGCCCTATTCCTCCCCCCGGCCCGGACTTCATTTATAAATAGCTTGAGCCGATTAGCCGGGCCCGGAGGAAAGGGGTGAAGACATTGAGCAAAGGAAACTTACATCCTCTGCGGCCATAGGTAGGACATCCTCGGAGTCGAGCACCTCGATTTCTTCCGCTTCTGAGCCGGCAGCCACAGCAGGGGAAGAGCTGGCGTGAGGTTCCGGCAGCCTGTCTCCCATGCTTGGAAACGGTCCCCCTCCAGCCCCCGCCTCCCCCCTTCTCCTCGGATCCTTAAAGAAATTAAACCTAGCTGCCGCTTGGCAAACTTTCAAGCGCAGCCGAGCCTGCCTTCATGACTCCCGCAGCCGGGAGGGGAGGAAATCCTCCATCCAGGGAACATCCAATTAGAGCGGGCAGAACGGGCAGGCGGCATCCCGGCGGCCGGCTCCGGACGGGGCAGGTGGTGACCCCTCCCCGCGCCGACTTGGCCGGCTCCCCTCCTCCCGCCCCCGCGGCCGGGCGCCGTCCCCAGCCCCGGGCACGGCCCCGCGGAGCGACCGGGGGGAGCCGCGCGGCGCCGGGGACTTCGGGAGGCAGAGCCCGGGAGCGCGGCGGAGGACGCGGGCGGGGCGGCGGCGAGGAGGAGGAGGAGGAGAGGTACGGGAGCACCGCGGGGAGCCCCGCCGGTCCCGTTTCCAGATGCCGGCCGAGCGGCTCCGTGCGCCCTCGGTCTCGCTGAGCAAGTGCGGGCAGGCGGCGAGGCGTGCGGGGTTACGGCGGCTTTTTAAACCTAACTTCTGCTGCCCGGGGATGCTCGCGATTCGGGCTCGGTGCGGCTTTTTTAATCCTTCACCGTAATTATTTGTCCCTATACGTTAAGATGGGCGTCTTAATCATCTGGAGCCTGGATTAGGAACTTGAGGAATGCCCTGACGGAAGGCAGAAATACAGCAGTTTTAGCTTCTTCCAATCGAGCACGGGAATAGCAGGTTGGCGGGGGCAGGGCGGCAGGCCGGGCTGATGCTGCCGCTGCTTTGCGCCGTGCTGGCAGGCAGAGGAGCACGGGGCCGAGGGGAGAGGATCCAGAGCCTCAGGCCAACAGTGTGACACGGGAGTTCTAATAGCAGGTCACACAGACCTCAACCACAAGGACAGAACCAAGCAAGAATTCCTTCTTTTCTTTACAGATTTGTTTAGAAGGCAGCCAGCAACAAGAAAAGCTAAATAATAATGAGTGAACGCAGATAGAATACCTCTAGAGCTGCACTAGGATCTTCCATCCAGCAGCAGCACACAGCAGAGATTCCCTCTTCCATCCACAGCTGCCAAAAGCTCCATGCTGTGTATCACTTTTGATCTAGGTCAAATTAGTCCCACGCTGGGTGCTCAGCTGTGAGCCACGGCACCCAAACCACGCGGCAGGGAGGAGCACAACCCTGCTGAAGGCAAAGGCCCAGCTGGGCTGATGCTGCTGGGCAGCTGTCCAGAGCCCCTCCAATCTGCTCCTCCAAAATCTAAGGGCAGGCCACCAAACCCGGCACTTGAGAAGCACCAGCCCTTGTAAAACACCATCCCTGCCAAAATATTCCAGGCCATGAACATAAAGACAATCTCTTTTTGATTAAAAACTTAAACCTCATCAAAACTCCAAAACAGATGGATGGGAAAAAAATGCACTATGCCAGCAGAAAGAAGCAGCAGTCATTTAAAGATGTCTTTAGGGAGGAAGGAGGAGAGTTTTAGAAGTAAAGAGAATAAATGAGATGTATTTCAGGGGTAACAGGTTCCACGCAGCTGGGACTGCCGTGTCAAGAGCCCTCTATTCCAGGAGCTAGCAGGAAAACACTAACCATGAGATCTAACATAAACGCAGTAAACAGCAGGGAGAGCTGCAAAGCCTTACCTTAACACCAAATTCCCATTAAACTGGAAAACTGCTTTGAAATTATAAGTTCATTTTTCTTCTGTAAGGAATGTTTCATTCTAGTGCCAATGAATGCTTTGGGGTTTTTTTTTGTTTTGTTTTTTTTTTTTTTTTTTTTTTTTTTTTTTCTTCCCCAGGGAAATATCTCTGCACATTGCACATACGAGCCAGTGCTGTGCTATAATTGTCACAGAAAGGAAATTAACAGTATTCTAATGAGGAGTTTTGTTACAGACAAATGATCGTCTTCCAAGTCTGTGCGAGCCTCTTAATTTAGATTGTCATTTCTCCCCACTGCATACCCTGGTGATTCTACCTTGGAAAACAGTAATTGCTAGAGACACCAGGGAGCTGTGGGCCAACACAGAGCAGATGCAAACAACACAGAAGGGTTACAGAAGGAATTCAGAGAGACGAAGCTTGAGATAATAGACCCCAGTACATGATCACCTTCAGTTATATGGGCAATCCTTGATATGCCTCATACTGCAAACAGAACGTAGATACGGGTCCTTCCTGCATGGGAAGTGGCTAAAAAGGTCAACTAATGAATATGCAATGTGAAAGCTCTCAAAGGGACGAGCCAACATCTGTCAGCCAAGCCTCCCAAAACAAATCAAAACAGTTGGTTCATGGGTCCTTTTTCCACCCAAAGAAGCCCCAAAGGGCTTTTACAAAACTGCACAGCTCTCGCAGTCGAAACCAAATGGAGGAATCTATGCAGCTTGATGACTGCATCGGAGCTCAGACAGAGACTTAAACCTGGAAGGCTACTTCTGAAGCAAAATGCACTATTTAGGATCAGAAGCCAAAAGCACTGCACCCGAGCAAGAAGGTAGATAGCACTTATGGAGTTACAGCTGGATCGAGCCAGTCAGATTAACCCATTCAGACTCATGAAGATCTATAAGGACCACAGGCTGTATGAACTGTGCCCAAAAGGGAGCAGGACAGAGGGTGCTTTGAGTGAGGACATCAGCCTCACACTTTAGGGTTAATGTGAATCAGACCATATGACCTGACTTACAGCATCTGCCTCGTTCGTGAATGCCTTCCCTCCTGAAGAAACAGTGAGCAAAAACGAGCTCCAGTCCCTTCTTATCAGATCAGCCCCGCGATGTTTAAGATGTCTTTGCACCTTTTCATCTGTTACCTGATGGGATCACAACACACACAGATGGCTTCATTCCAAATTAAAACAACTGCTTGAAATGAGACCAATCAGTAACCCAGGGTTAATTTTCACCATAAAATCAAGCCATGCTTACAATTAATCCAGAACTGGCAAGCTTTCAGGCAGGAGGCCGAAGCTGAGGGGTGAAGGATGGTCTCCAAGGATGGTGAACCAAGATCGTTGTTCTCTCAGTGCCTTTGCACCAAGGCCAGCCGATTTATGTCGCAGGTTGAACAGGAAGTGGAGACGGAGTTTGTTTTAAGGGGAAAAAATAATTTGAAAACGTTGACAGGCTGTTGCAAACAAAGCGTGCCCAATGGCGCACACAGCTCTGCCTCCGGTCCCTCTTCACTTCTGCACGCAGCTCAGAATGTTCCCGAAGCTCTGCCAGTTGCAGGCAGGGTCCTGTGCAATGCCTGCACCTTCCGTGTGAGCCAGGCGCTGAGCGGGGCTGAGCTCAGCTCCGAGCCGTTCGCTGCTCGGCGCCGCCAGCGGCACCAACGCTCAGGGACTCACTTAAGATAACGGGATTTCTTACAGTTCCCTCAGGATGGCGCCTTAAAGACGTGCTTGTGAGCTTCCGTCCTGACACCACCAGCCTCCTTCCGGGAGGATTTCGGGAATCACAGCGTAAAACAGACGCGGCCGCTGCCGCTGTGGCACAGATCGCCTCAGCGCTTTTCCTCAGGAGCGGCTGAAATCCCGCCGCGCTCCGCACCCGCCCGCCGCTCCGCGAGGCTCGCTCAGCCCGCAGTGCCGGCACGGAGCGGCGCGGCTGCGCGGGCCCATGGCGCCCCCTGGCGGCCGCTCCGAACAAACGCCTCGAGGACGCAGCGCGAGGTTTTATAGGCGTCACTTTTCAGGGCGGAGGGGAAAAAAAAGGATCAAGGCCAACACAGTACACAGTTATTTTATTGAAATAGTTGAAAAGGCCAGCAATGGAAAAATAAGTTTGTCACGAGGGCGGAATTAATATTTACTCGATTGTTAGAAAAGCTGTGTCTACAGGTAACTCTAGCCAGGTACAGAATGCACTGTGAACCATGCAACTAAGAGACTACAGCAGATAGGCACTGTGTACTATTTCGGTTCTATCTGATGCACAGCTGTTGTCAGGTACAACTGACACCCGTGAGAAACTGAACAGCAGCACTTCTCGAGTTATTAACATTTATAATGTACAAATGTTCTCACCTGATTGATAAGGGATATAAAACACAGCGTAGTGGAAAATGAGTAACAGCTGCACACAGCATGTGAAGTTGGTCTGGCAGTCATTGAAGTTTACGTTTTTCCTTTTAAAAGAAATACTTGAGTGCTAAGCATGGCGCTGGTCATACAGCATACAAAACCGAAGGCCAGGGCTCGTTCTGGAAATACATTACAGGGGGGAAGGTTGGCTGTTAGAAAGAAATTCACAATTTCTGATTGAGTTTGGAGTCCAAAACGATGCAGTCACTTCAAATGAAAGTGAAATAAATAAGCAATCCTTCAGGAAGTATGATCCTCGAGTTGAACCTACTCTATGGAAAACGAAGTTCAGCTATACAGCAGGATGTCACTGTGGTGAAAGCCCTCAGAACAGCATTCTGAACAACTCCTTGGGAAGCAATGCTGTCCTGCTCTCCTATGTACAGGTTATTTACAAGTTCCCTTTTGGCCTCACCCGTCAAGCCCCTGGAGCTGGCTGCTTAGAAGTGATTCCTCCCTCCCCCCCACCCCCCCATTTTGCAATACTGCAGTTAGAACTATAATTTAAAATAATCTTATGCATGAATTACAAATATTAATAAAGTAACTCTGCATATATAAATATTTCTAGCGGAATTTAAAGCATTCAGAATGTACATAAAAGTTTATTTCCATTTGGTAGGGCCAGATGTGCTTCTTCTCAGATCACCGCTGCTTTATTAATGCTTTGTACATAGCGAAACCCAGAAATGCAAAGACAGTAGCACCAAAACTTGCTCGGAGCCAAAACGTGGAGCTCTTGAGGTCCGCTTGTGTCACGTGCCTGAAATTTGACACAAAAAAAAACCACAAATTATTTGCAGGACAAGAATATCAGCCAAGTCGTGCTAAGCAACTCTGCTTTTGGAAATTCATCACTACACTTGTCACAGGCAAGGAGCTTACACTTCTGCCCTGCGTATACTTTAGCAGTCATTCTGTTTCTCTTTTAAAGCTTAGGGTTTGATCTGCAGCCATGATCACACGAGTAAACTTACTAAAGTCAGGGCTCACACAGCTGAGGGTGGATACAGGAGGAGGCCATTAATCAGCAGTGAGTATGGGGAAGGCAGCCATCTTAGAGCACCAACTAACACCCAGCAAATAAAAACAGTCAGCAAATAAATCATAATCCATAATGAGAACAAAGTCCATCGCTGCAAAACAGAACTTTACTCAAATTCGAGTTTGCAGACTTTTTGCTTCTCCTTGCAAAACTTTCCAGTCCTGTTCAACATCTACTTATGTTACTCCCCCCAATAGAAGGTTACTGACAAGTAGCAAGTAATATTTTTCCAAAAGCTCGAACCAAAAAAACTGGCAGTCTGTAAACCCCTTTCTTCCCAAACAATCACAAGAATGGCAACAGAAACAGTCATCCAATACCAAGCTGAAAGCTAAGAGATTGTGCTGGTGAAACAGGCAGTGACAATGGAGTCAACAAAAAAAGGCAAAATCCAACAGCAGTGTGAAGATGACACAAAAAGCCACACTTTGCATGACAGCAAACAGCCAATGGCCCAAGTCTCCAAACGCTGCGGAGTTTGTGAGCATGCTCAGTTAAACACTGCCAGGCATCCTCAAAGTAGTCTCAAGTATGACAGCTTACCATAAAGCAGGAACTACCATTTAAGTTATCATAAAGCTATAATTCAAAGCACAACAAGTTCCTAAATAATAGTAGTTTGTTTGTTTTTCAGATAGAAAATAGCTTCACTCGCCTATCTGTTTTAGCCTGCTTTTATCATCACAGGTTACTCAGTGAAAACTGCAGGAATATCAAAGTCCAAGGAGCATACAGGATTGTGCAGGGATCCTAAGCACACACAGTGCACAAGGAAGTTGATGTAGTGTGAACTGCAGAGCTGTCATTGAGAAGCTGTTTAGTAAAGCAGGAACTGCACTTACTATCAAAATACACAAAACCAGTTCAGGATAGTATTTAGTAGACACTTGCAGAAGCAATATAAGCCATCCAGGTAATCCGTGTGCTGTAATAACACAAGCTAAAGAACAGGCACAAATTCTCTGGTGCATTAACAGCAAAACAGTTGTTGGCTAAAGATTACTGATCTCAGTTAAAAACATCTTGCTGGGTTATGGAATCAGATTCAGGAATTCCTACAAGCATTAGTTCTACAGCTGCTTTTGACAAACTCTCTGCAAACTACGTGTCAAGTAGACTGCTGAGGGAAAGAAAGGGAAAAGGCAATGGCAAGGTCACCTCGGTTTGGCTGCTGTTACCTGTCTTCAAGCAAACGTGGACCAAGAGATGACTCCATGAAGATGGAATCTTCTACAAAGCTGACGGCGTGCACCTGATGCATAATACTGCTCTCCTCGTCTGCTAACAGCATGGCACCCAACTCATCTATGTGGGGTCTTAACTCACGAGCTGCGTAAGACTGACTCAGCCTCCATGTGCTTTTCAGTGTGTTTCTTAAGACTCCTTAAAACATTTCAGGAGGTGCCTCATTCTACCAGCACAAGCCTCACTGTGCTGCATTTCTTGCACTGCTGATGTCTGCTCACACTGATGGCTTTTACTTCCAGCTTCATGCTCAAGGCTATCAAGCAAAGCCAGCTGTCAGCATACAGGCTGGTGGGGACCGCAGAGAGGAGTATCCCAGCAGCCAGGGAAAGGGGAGGTGGTGTGGCTGATCACAAACCATTCATGCTGCAGGGATTACTACCAAGCTCAGGGCCTGGCTGGTGTTCACTGTGCAGTGGTATTGGAACACGAAGCAGGAACTTGGGGAAATTTTGCTGCTCACCCTGCAAGAAGTGGGAAGATTAATGATCTCTAGGTAGCTTTCTCATGCTGAGCAATCACTCCAGGCTATCATGGCTAAAAGCCAGATCTTGGCATAAGCCCCAAAGTGTTGGGAGATTGCCATCCATCGTAACAACACTGGGGACAGAAACAGGCTGATCTAGATAGGGTAAAATACAAAGCATTACTCAGCAGAAGTATTCACTGCTCAGTGCCTCAGTTTCCCTCCTTGACTGAAGGGAAGGTAAGTTCCCATCTCCCCTTTCCTGGGGACTGCTGCATTCAAAACAGCAGAAGGCAGCAAGGGGCAGACAATCCAGACAGCATCAGCAAACCAATCTCCTTCAGCAAAAACAGATCCTCTGTTACCAGCCCATTCTACCCTTCAAGTCTGTCCATAAGGCAATGAATTTGAAGGGAATCTTTTTTTTTTCCTAACCCCATAACCCAAAATGAAGGAGTCAAAGGGTTAATGCTGCATGACAAAGGTCAGCGCAGTTTGGGGAGGGAGGAGAAAGGCAAGCATTGTGGTCACAGACAGCAGCTCCCTGCACCCTAAATGCCACTTGAGAAATGTAAAGTGATGGCATTGCTCAGAAAAAAAAGGCCTGAGAGCCCCTGCCTAAATCCCAGGGCTTTATCATTCATAAAAGCCCAGCCCCTTGAGCCATTAATCGTGTGCTCCATGGCTGGCCCCTCAAAGAGCAGCAGATGACACATGCCCAGCTGCCATTGCAGCCCCTCCTCAAGGTAGCAGGGCAGAGGCAGGTGCACCCCAGCGCCCTCTGCTCGAGACTAATCTATTCTCCCTCCTTGTCCTCTGCCTTTCATCTCCTCCAGCAGCCCACGCTGACAACTGTAAATGAGATTAGACTTCAAGGCGTGGGGCAGATGCAGAACCCCCTCTGTGCATTGCCAAGAGACCCTTGTAAAGTGTCTTTCCCCTTTACAATGCACAGCTCGGTGGAGGGGGGAAAAGGGAGAAAGCTTCTAGTCACATTCATAGACATGTCCAATAAGGAGACAAGGCAGACCCTGGTGCTAATCTGTTGTCATACCGAACAGTCTTTCCATCAGCACCTCTGATTCTCCCATCCATATTAGAGTCAAAGTTTATTACTTTGTCTCATTTCCTATTTCTAGTTCCTGTAACCTCCTCTTTGCAGCACCATGCTGCTCAGATGCAGACAATGATGGGCTCAAATCTAAAGAGAGAGCAGAAGTCCAAAATCCAGGTAACGACTTGAAGGTAGCACATGACTCCCACCCACGCTGCTGCTCACACAGACATCGTTTCCTATTCTCCATCTTGCAGTTTCTCCTCTGCCTGCTCCCAGTGAGCCACACCAACCAGCAAAGCAACAGAAAGTGGTAAAATCACCAGGCACAAACCTACAGGGAGCTTCCAGCCTCAGCCACAGCCCTCAGCCTGCAACAGCAGCCAGGGAAACTCCTCAAAGGGAAGTGGGATGTTTAGTTCAACAGCGTCCCAGTAAACAAGCTGGAATTTCTTTCATAGCATGGGAAATAGTTCAGCTGTGTTAAAGTCTTTCCTGAGAAAAGGGGCATGGTTAAAATAAAAGATCATCAAGTTCAACATAATTCCCTTTCTTAGTTACCACCAACCACGATCACAGCTGGCCTGGTTTTATGGATTGCTTTTTGCAATTTCAGTCATGCAGGAACCAGCCCTGGATTTAAGGAGGCTGCAAAGGCAGCGTATTTTCAAGAACATTTTAATGCTTCAGAGGCTGTCACAGAGCAGGTTCAGCTGCACCCACTGCTGGTAGTGTCAGCAACTGAACCTTTCCTGACAAGCACACGCCTGGTCCAGAATCATGCAGTCTCAATTCTGAGCTCAACTTTTCCATTAGCTGCCCACACAGACTGGGTAACTTGGCATCTCTCTGCATTCCCCATAAACTGTGTTCATCTGTTGCCATCACACCCACGTGCAAGTCTCAGGACACAATCCAGGATTCCTAAAGCAGCTGCAACAAAAACACAGCCTGGATTGACAAGCAATAGAATCAAGGTGCTGTGCCAGAGAGGAGGGTCTTTTGGGAGAGCTGCGTGTGGGGCTATTTAAAACAAGTTTGTTGTCATGACTACACGCCAAGGTACGGGTGAGAAGAAGTGAGAACTCCAAGATGAGGGCTGATAATATAAATTCACCCTTGAAGTCACAGCAACCATGGGGATGAGACAGAGAAGACAAGAGCTCTTGGAATCTAAAGCAGCTAAAAGCCACCTCTGGAAGGCAATTTGGTCCTAATAAGGAACACCATCATCTCAGATAGTCCCTTTTACCCAGTATGGCCAAAGGCTGCATAATACCGATTAGCTACAGTCTTCTCTAAAGCAGGGACACCGGGGACACAGAGTCAAAGCAGGGCACCCGAGGCCTTAGAAAGGACATAGCAAAGCAGGAGCAATCACCCAGCTTGGATTCAAATAGGACATGCATGCAAGGGAATTAACGAGGGACCTTAGTAGCACACAGAAGTATGAAACTGCCAGGACCAGCTACTGGGATTGTCACACTTTTGAGATTATCTGAAGATGAGCAAAAGAGAACGTTTTTGGCCACTGAAGAATGCAATACAAGTGGCCGTGGAGAACAGAGAAAGGCAATGCCTTGCTCTGCTCAGAGCCTGGATTCCACACAGACTGTGGTGTGCTCAGTGACAGTGCAGGCTCTGCAGAAGGCAGCAGATGCAGAGTTAATGCCTGTGTGGGGGTGGAGGGTGTTTATGAGCACAATAAATAAATGTATGAAACCCTATAAAAGTTCCCATATAAAAGTGAGTTAGAGCTGCTCGAGGGCCATGGCCTCATAATAAAAAATGCATCTCTTCAGCATGGCATGAAGCAGCAGCTGTACTGTAACCTTCCGGCTGCAGCACTGGAAAGCTGCCTGCCTGCCAGCTCTCAAACTCCTGGGTGAAATCTTGACCCCCCACCCCCCCACCCCCCCCCAAAGGCTCTGAATTCTGTTCTGGGGAGGGCTTCTTTGAACATCAAAGCCCAGGAAGCAGAGCTGGACCTGACGGTTTGCTAAATCTTAGTTTTTACTTCTTAAAAAGATGCAACCTGGCAGGAGATTGTGGCTTCAGTCACTGACAACTCCCAGTGCGACAGAACAGAACTGGATCAAAACAAATAGAAAAATTCTTCCAGAAGTCAGTGTCTTTTGCTTCCCCTTCAAAACAAATAGGGAAAAGCACGGCTTTAAGGCTGAGCAGCAATATTCACCCAAAAGTTCTGAGTTTTTAATTGAAGATGATGAGAGGGGAGGGTCAAAACCACCACCAGAATCCTTTACGTTTTATATGCCTAAACAGAAAACTACTTTTTTGTCAGTAAGCCTGAAGAAAAGTTTTGCAAACTTCATCCCCCCCCCCCCTAAAAAAAAAAAATAAAAAGCTGTAATAGTAATTTCATTCTCACTACTGTCAAGAGCAAGAACAGGGGATTGCTGACCTCTCCTTTGCACCGTTTACCATCACACGAAATCACCCTGGAAACAAGAGACTTGCAGACTCCCAGCCTGAGCATTCCCAACTGCTCCAGCACTTTGCCCAGGGTCTTCTCTTGTTCTGCTGGGAGGTGCTGAATGCAGAAGCCCACATGCCCCACCTGAACAGGTGACTTAAACTTTGGTCCCAGCCCACGAGTCACACTTGCACAGGGCACATAAATCTTTGGCCATTCCTTTCCACCCTAAACACATTTAAGGCCAGGCTACATCTCCCAGCAGAGCCGCAACAAGACTGTCCTCGTGTTTCACACAGATGCCAGTTAGAGCTAAACAAAACATTCTCCTCTCCTACCATCACAGAGCTGCTGAGATAGCAACCTTGTTCCACGACAAACAGCATCCTGTAATTCACTGCAGGGCTAATTGCATTGCAGAGCTGATATTGCTCTCCAGGAAGACGTCAGCTCCTCGGCTTTGCCCATGGGCAACAAGGACCTTATTGATGCATTCAGGACTCACAACCAGCAGTCACAGGTTGCATTCTCTTTGGTAACAAAGCCTTACAGACAAGGCTTAGAATTCCACTGCAGTCCTAATTGAAACATAGCTAATTATCAGAGTTCTGTCTTTGCAACCCCCCCAAAAAAAAAAAAAAAAAAAAAGACATCTACTATTCAGACAAGTCCAGGGGGAAATTACCCATTCCTTCCTTTGAGCCTGAGGTAGCTACCAGCCAAGATCCCCATCCCACAAGGACTCAATGACTTCAAAGGATGCTTGTAGAATCAGACTCCAAATTAGGTCCAACTCTAGAGACAGGAGAGAATTCCAAGTGGCTGCAGCAAACATTCAGCTCAGATCACAAACAGCTTGTCTCGAACCCACGTTTGGAGTAGCAGCATTTCCTACGAGCCCCGGCAAATTCAAATACACCACACAACTTAGGTGTGAACAACAATTATAGCAACCTAATTCCTCACTGCCAGTTGCTTGAATGAGCAACATCAAATGTGCTGCAGTCCAGATGCATGGATTAGCAGCTGGTCACAGCTAAGCAGATACAAACACGCACTCACCAGAACTAGTTTCTGGCTGGATGATAACAAGACCCCCAAGGAACCAAGAGCA